TCATACAAAAATTTGTGATATATAAAATACATGACCATCACATTAGTATTCTTCAATTTTGGTTTTCATTTAATTCTTTGAATTTTTTTGAAAAACGAATGTAGTATTGGACCTTATTTGTGTTCTTGTTACAAATATTGATAGTATTGAATAGTTATAAAAGTTGATGTGAGAGATAATATTTCAAAACTATTTTTTTTTTTTGGGTTGCCGTTTGTGAATGAGTTTAATGGTTGAAATATATATATATATATAATCAAATAAAATAAATAATTTCCACCCATTTTTTAAAGCTACATATGGTATTTTTATTATGTTACATATGTTATTTTATTAGTTGGTCAATATTGATTAAAATCAAATAAAATAAATGCATTGAGTGGAAAAAATCAGTTGAGATAAACAAATTAAGATCTATATATTATGTAGCACTATTCTTGCATTATCTATATTTTTGTTAACCATTTTTTTTTAATTAATTTTAGAATTTATTGGATAATGCTTAAGTACTGTAATAATTAAATTTGTATAATAAGATAGATAACATTAGATAGCTTTTTATTTTAGATATAATATAATATTATACATGTCTTATTGGATATGCTCTTCTCTTTTTTAATTGTAGATGAACTTAAAAGAACCACGTCATATGCTTATTTTATTTAAGAACATAGACAAAGTGAAAAGACAACACAATATTGGATTATAGAGTGAAAAAAACAACAAAGAAAAATAAAGGAAAAAAAAGTGGAAAATCCCTCATTTGAACAAAATTTATTTATTTATTTATTTATTTGTACAAAGCAAAGAAAAATAAAGGAAAAAAAAAGTGGAAAATCCCTAATTTGAACAAAATTTATTTATTTATTTATTTTTTGTACAAAGAAAGAGGCTCCGCCTATCGGCGTAGGTTGCACACGGACCACGAATAAGACACGCCAATCAGATCATGATGAAGCCACTGACGAACTCCATCTGGCGAAACAAAACAGGTAAGAAATGGTATCCCAAAGATCCATCCGCAGCGAAGGAAGCCAACTGATCGACTGCAAAATTCGCTTCGCGGTATACATGTTTCAAGAACTACTAGGTCGACAATGAGAGTGTCGTGGGGTTATCTAAATATCTCGAGGACGCATCGGGGGCTCATACGGGCCTTGTGTTGGGTATCCAAGAACTACTAGGTCGACCTTGGAACGTTTCAGCTGAACAAAATTTATTTAATCCCTTGTGTGCATATCTTACTCATATAGTGCATTATTTCTTGCTCACATTAAATTGGGGATGGCAGTATGGCACCACCCACCAGCTATGTATCATCAGATATATTAAATGTCTAAAAAAAAAAGAGAAGAAATTTGTGACTTGTAAGTATCATCTTTGGTGAGTCTCAAAGTGATAACAAGTACATGGTGTTGGTGAATCCAATAAATGGATAATTCAATGCATTATAATAGGCCCTTGAATTGTTTCACTTTACAAGCTTTTAATACATAATGGAGATCACACATTGGCCTTTTGGTTATCATGATATCCATTTTTGATCTGTTTCACTGCAAAAATACCTTCTTATTTTCTCTACAAGAGCCCAAAAATTTGCAACTTAAGCAATATTTAGTATACATCTAAAGAAGATAAAAATGGTGGTGCAGAAAAAGGTGAAGATGGGGAACAAGAAAGGAAATAACACCCCAAAGAGCAAAAAAGGTCCTTTGTTTGCTTGGCCATGGGAGAATTTAAATAATTTCAAGGCATGTTGCATTTTTTTTTTTTTTTTTTTATGCAGTGTCCATATTGATAAAACCCAAAAAAAATAAAATAAAAATAAAAATAAATAACATAACCTAATTATTTTTATTTTATGGTGACTTAATAATATGTTTATTTCTGGGTGCAGTATTTGTTGTATGGGCCATTAGTAGGGAAAGTGGCATATGCAATCTACAAGAAAGAAATCAGCAAGAATGAAGAAAGTTGGAGCTTGCACATTCTCTTGCTGTTTGGGGTTAGAGCCCTTGTGCACCAGCTGTGGAGTACTTACAGTAATATGTTTTTCCTTAACCGTGCTCGCCGGATTAACGAAGATGGAGTCGAGTTTGATCAAATTGATGCTGAATGGCATTGGTATCATTTCCCCATTTTTTTCATCTATTATTTCATATATATTCTGATAAATTAAGCAGATATTATGAGTACTGAAGGGAGGGAACTATATTGTTCTTCAGTTAATTTTGGCTTGTTAGATTTTGATTTCTTCCTTGTTGTGTTGATTATTGGGACAGGGACAATTTCTTGATACTTGAATCTATTGTGGCATCATTGTCATATTTGAGTTTGCCTAATTTGTTGGCTAATCTTCCTATGTGGGACACAAAGGGTGTTCTTTGTTGCCTCTTGCTTCATGTCGGGATTTCCGAGCCATTATATTACTGGATGCACAAATTATTGCATTCGTCGGCTTTGTTCAGCCGTTACCATTGGCTTCACCACAGCTCCAAAGTTTTAAATCCATTCACAGGTACAGAGAAATGTAAATAAATAGATAAATGTCTAATTCCAGTTCTGCAAAATGCAAACTCTGTAAAGTGGTCCTGTAAATATCAAGAAATCTCGAATGTGGTCCGAGTTTCGACTCGAGATGTTAATCGCAGTTACAGGGTACACCATTCTGCTGCTGGACTGAAGTTATACAGACTAATATTATAATTTTTTCACAATTATAGTTTCTAAAAAAGACATAAGTTTTTTCAGCTAAAATAGACAATGTACGACGTATTTCTAACCATTTTGATAACATCTGTATATTGCTGCAGCTGGGCATGCAACATTCTTCGAGCATCTGTTACTTTGTGTAGTAATTGGAATCCCGACATTGGGAACTTCCTTAATCGGTTATGGATCCATAAGTCAGATGTACGGTTATATTCTGGCGTTCGATTTTCTTAGGTGTTTGGGTCACAGCAATGTTGAAGTCATTCCCTGCCAACTATTTCAGACCATTCCTTTCCTCAGATACCTTATATATACGCCAACGTAAGTTCTAACTTGGAATCATGCATCTCTCATTTTTAATCTGTTTAATGTATTTAGTGTTTTTTTTTTCTTTATGGAGAAATGTGAGTCTCTGAAATATTTTCTACTTCTGTTTGTTCTCTGCAGATACCACAGCCTTCACCACATGGATATGAAGACTAATTTTTGCCTCTTCATGCCTCTATATGATAAATTATGGAATACACTGAACTCTGCTTCGTGGACCCTTCACAAAGAAATTAGTTTGAGGACGAGTGAGTAGATTGTTCACACGCATAAGAAGTTTAATCACAAGTTAAACTGTTTTCAGCATATGCATGCACATTAGTAGTGAAAAAAAAGGCAAATTTTACTTGAGGTCTTGTGAATGGCTCTCGCTGTTCCTTTGTTGTTGTTATTATTATTATTATTATTATTGTTTTAACTCGAGTATGATGAGATCAATGTACTACAGATAGCAGAGGACCTGATTTCGTGTTTCTTGTGCATATGGTGGATATTATGTCGGCAAATCATGCTCCCTTTGTTTTTCGATCCTTCAACTCCATGCCTTACAGTTCAAAGCTCTTTTTGCTTCCGATGTGGCCTTTTACGTTTATCATCATGCTCATTATGTGGGCAAAATCAAAGACATTCTTGACCAGCTTTTACAATCTCAGAGGAAAATTGCACCAGACGTGGGTAGTACCAAGATATGGCTTTCAGGTACCTGCTTTTTTTCACCATAATTAGCTTTACACTAAATGACATGAGTTGACTGCAGAAACCGAGATTTGTGCTCAGCTGTGTCTTAAAACATATACGAATATGTGTGTACTGATAACAGTTAACTGTTACATTTCTGCAGTATTTCTTACCTTTTGCTGCAGAAGGAATAAATAAACACATTGAAGATGCAATCCTTACGGCCGACAAAATCGGCGTTAAGGTCCTTAGCCTTGCTGCATTAAATAAGGTAAAAGTCAGCTCCTTCATCCATCTTCTTCTGTTTCGAGTGATTGTTTATTATTAAAAAGAAAAAAAAAAAGGAAAGAAATCTATGTCTTGATGGTTAAAATTGAAATGAAACGTCAAATGCGTTGCTACTATTTCATACTAAATGAATATATAATTGCAGAACGAAGGCCTGAATGGAGGTGGAATCCTTTTCACAGAAAAGCACCCGAATCTCAGAGTCCGAGTTGTTCATGGCAACACATTGACAGCTGCTGTGATTCTAAACGAGATTCCTCGTGATGTTGATGAGGTTTTCTTGACAGGAGCCACTTCTAAGCTTGGTAGGGCCATAGCACTCTATCTTGCTCAGAGGAAAGTCAAAGTGCTCGTAAGTACAATCAAAATTCTTTATCCATAGAAATAAAAGGAAACAGAATAATAATAACAATAATAATAATTGGAGTGGTGTGGATAAAATGCAGATGCTAACGCTATCGAACGAAAGATTCGTCAAGATTCAGAAAGAAGCACCAGTGGATTGCCAAAAGTATTTGGTTCAAGTTACTAAATATGAAGCGGCTAAGCACTGTAAAGTATGTTTCTTAAGTATATGGAGAGATCATTTGTTCTTTTTACAAATGTTTTATTATATTGCATTTTTTCTTATGAGTTTTTGACAATTTGCAGACATGGATTATCGGCAAGTGGGCTACACCACGCGAACAGTACTACGCACCACCGGGTACGCATTTTCACCAATTTGTGGTTCCACCAGTTATTCCATTTAGAAGGGACTGCACTTATGGAAATCTAGCAGCAATGAAGCTTCCGGAAGGTGTCCAGGGACTCGGAATATGTGAGGTATATCATATATGCCCTTGTTCAAGTATTCCATTTTTCTGTGTTAGTGACCATATTCGCACCCCTTTGTACTTCAAATTTAATCGTATAACAACATAAAGGTTTTTGAAAGAGTCCCTTAGCATTATGTTGAACGACTTACCCTTCAACTGGAGACGATCTATAAACACAGTGGGACGATTCAAACTTTTGATTCTTGCATTTTTATGTATCAGTACACAATGGGACGAGGGGCGGTGCACGCTTGCCATGCTGGAGGTGCTGTTCATTTTCTTGAAGGCTGGAAGCACCATGAAGTTGGGGCCATTAATGTCGATCAGATTGATGTTGTCTGGAAGGCTGCCCTCAGACATGGTTTTAAGCCTTTGTAGATTTCAGAACAAAAAAAAAAAAAAAAACAGAAATATGTCAGTCGGTGTTTCACGTGTTCCTATTGCACTGTTCACGTCCGGTCACTCTTGTGGAATTAGTCATACAGACATGAAGTATCTGTTGGGTTTTGCTATCTTGTTCAGATAATGACTGTGCTGTCAAAGTTATGTGACAAACAACAATCAACAGATACCATGTAACTATGACATTTATTACCTCAGCTGCCAATCAAATCTCAGCAATAAAACAATATATTCAACTTTCATCACAAGTTCACAACTCTGCTCTGTGATGTTTGCATTCAGAAAGAAAAAAGCAAGAAGAAACCAAGCACAAAAAATCGATAAACAGAATACAATCAAGAGCTGAGCTGAAGAAAAGTTTTGGCCATAGGATGCTTAGCCTCAGAGAGCTTATTAGGTTCCAAAATCTCGACAATCTCACCATCCACAAGGAGGCACACTAAATCCGCAATCCTCTGTATCTGTTTAATGCTATGAGACACCATAACAATAGTCATTCCCCTATCTTTCTTCAGCTTCACCAGAACATCTTCTATGTTCTGTGTTGATATTGGATCCAATGCACTAGTCGGCTCGTCCAGCAACAAAACCTTCAAAAAGTAAACACACTTAATTTATTTTTCTTATATATTGAGATCTTTAGGATCGCGATTGTCGAAGTTCTACCTCGGGCTCATTGGCCAAGGTTCTTGCCAGAGCAACTCTCTGAGCTTGGCCAACCGATAATTCGCCACCCGACTTGTTGTAGAACGAAGGATCAAGGTCAGCAAGAGAGAGTAATTTGTAGACCTCTGCATCTGTTAGCTTTGTCCCTTTCAGTTGAGGCCCATATCTCACGTTATCAGCTACAGTTCCTATACTTGTAAAAAAAGAAAATGATATATTATCAACCAACAACTTGAATAAAAATTGGAACTTTGTTAAAGAAGAGTTAATAATGAACCTTCAAACAAGGCAGGAAGCTGGAAGAGCATGCCGACTTTGCGGCGGAGTTTGAGGACGTCTAGCTCGCAAATGTCGACGCCGTCCAAGAAGACGGTGCCGGAAAGGGGTTCCCACAGGCGGTTGAGGGCCCGCAGGAAAGTGGACTTCCCGCTCCCGCTCGGCCCGATTACTCCCATTATCGTTCCCCTCTGGATGTCCGCGTTGACTTTGTTCAGAATCCTCACCTCCTTGTCCGACACCTTGCTCAGACCCCTCACCTCGATTTTCGGGCCGCCGATTGACGGCGGCGCCAGCAGGGGCTCTCGTGCTCCGTCTGCAGACGCCATTATTTATTTAACCGCGCATCAGGTCAATTACAGAAGATGTAAGATAAATGAATTTCCAGATTCTGACTAAGGTGAACAAGAAATTTCAAAAGGAACCCGTTTTAAATGATTGAAGACCTTGAAGAGTAGCCGCCATTGGAGAAAAGGAACTTGAAGCTCTCTTAAGATGGAGGTGTAGCGTATCAGATCAGATAGAGAGAAAAGGAGGAAACTTTATGTATGATGCTATCTTGTACATAGAGAAGGAAATAATATGGATACAAATACAACCTGCCTGAGGTAGAATTCGGGAAGGGGAGCAAGAACTGGACAGCATCTTTTCTAATTGTGCTTGTCCACATCAGATCATAAAACTATAATTATTACAAACACAAGATGTGCTCATTTGTAGATTTTGTTTTATTTCATTCTCAAATCATGGCACCCACCGACGGGGGTGTTCACTGTCCGGATTTGGTCCGGTTTTAGTTCAAATCATGATTAAGTCAGACCTAATGGTTATTCTTTTTCTTGTCCATAACTGGATTGGTTTTATTTTTAACCCCACAATCCGCACCGCATTGGACGGTCCGTTAAATTCAAAATTCTTGTTTTGGGCCTTTAATTTTTAATTTTTTTTCATTTTGGCTTAATTTTTATTTTTCAGTTTTGGACCGAAAAGAGATTATTTGGGCCTAAAAAAAACAATAATGAAATAAAAAATACACAATTCGTCCCAAAAAATTAGGAAGAGGATGTGGGAAAATTTGAAAATGAAAAAACAAAGGTGGAAAAAAGTGAAAGGTTATAATGTCTTACAAAATTAAGTCAACAAAAGGCAAAAAGTGAAAGTGAATGTATTGTATTTGTCGGACATAGTGAATGATTGAATGTATATATATATTTGTTATAATTTTTTAATATTTACTGGTCCGGTCCGGTTAAACCCGCGGTTTGTCGCAGGTAATCCGTTAACCGGACCGGTTATTCCGAATTTTTTAAAAAATTAACCACCAGATTTTTAAGGTTTTTTTAACCGATCCTCGGTCCAGATTAGCGATTTTTTTTTTTTGGTTAAAACCAGACCGTGAACACCCTTACCCACCGAGTCCTAATATTTGTCTTGTCCCTCCCTTTCCGTAATAAATAAAAGATACCTTCTTAACTGATAATGTTATTGTTCGAAATATCACTTGTGAGTTGTCTCACATTGATTCTACAAGGTAAATGAGCCTAGTTTATAAGCGTAGTGGGCTACTGCTCCCATCACCAATTGGTTTTTGGATTGAAACTTCACTAAGGTGCATCTAGGCTCACCTTATTATGATGCGCTTCACTTGGTGTGACCACGCCCTCTTCCTCGGTTCTAATATGGTATCAGAACGGGTCTGTCCTAGGACCTGCAATGACTCTCTACCCGACCTGCTCTGGCTTGGGCTTATGAAGGACTCCCTTATTGATTTTATAGGGTAAATGAGCTGGACCGCACCCTCTTCCTCGGTTCTAATAGCTATGATTTTATTAAGCTTTATTTTTGCTACGTAAATTGCTATCACTACCCCTTCTACTGGTCACCGTTTTCTTTCAACATATTGTCTCTCTCATATTTTCTTTCTTTCAAAAAATTTGAAAATCTCTCCCAACCTTCGATGTTCGAATTTTCACCAAAAAAATGGCAAACCGTCACCCGGCAAGAAAAATGTCAGGTCCGGGCGATTTTGATTTTTTTTTTAGATTTTTTTTTTAAGAATTGAAATTATTTAAATGTGTTTTAAATATTTAATAGAATTAATTTTTTGATTTAGGTTAATTTAGATAAATTTTAGTTTAGTAGTTATTAATAATAGGTTACTTATAAAATATGTCACCCCAACAGATGAATACTTATAATTTTTAGTAATATGTTAGTAATATGTCACCCGACAGATGGATTTTAATTCGGCATTGTTAGGGTTGCTACTGGACAGATTAAACATTTTTTTGGAAATGGAGCAAAACAACTCTAATTTAGTTTGTGGTCCCATATAGACAACCCCTCCATTGATCTCATGAAAATTGAAGAACCACTCCCTTATGGGAGACATATAGTAGGTGCATCCTGAATCCAAAACCCATTCGTCTGGATGAGATGATGACGGTGAAACCACAAGTGAAAATTCTGAGTCTTCACTTCCACCCTCAGCAACATATGCATCTTGAGGAGATTTGTCCTTTTTCTTCAACTTATGACAGTCTTTCTTCTAGTGTCCCTTCTCATGACAGAAAGCACACTCGTCTTTTTCAAGCTTGGCTTTGCAACGTGATCTTCGTCGTCCATTCTTCTTTTGGCTCTTCGATCGACCTCTTGCAACCAACACTTCATCTTCTGATGCTGCATTCTTCGTCTCTTGTTTGTTCTTCTTCCTCAACTCATAGCTATACAGAGCAGAACTGACCACTGCAAGAGTCACATCGTCCTTCCCATGGAGCAGAGTAGTCTATAAGTGCTCGAAGTCGTCTGGAAGTGATGATAACAACATTAGGGTCAAATCTTCATCGCTGAATGTGACGTCCAAATTCAACAAATTTGCAACCAACTGATTAAATGCAGTGACGTGTTCATTCATTGATGTGCCATGCCGGTACTCAAATCGGAACAATCGCTTCTTCATGAGAAGCTTATTCTAGCCGTTTTTTTTCAGAAATTTATCCTCCAAAGCCTTCCACAGACTGTGAGCAGAGTTCTCATTCTTGAACGCTTACTTCTGCTCCCTCGACAAACACGAACGAATTGTTCCACATGCTAAGCGGTTGATATTCTTCCAGTCCTTCTCTTCAACGTCTGTTGACTTCTTTTCTTCAATCGCAATGTCGACGCCTTGATGAAATAGACAATCCAGCACCTCGCCTTGCCACATGCCGAAATGGCCGGTCCCGTCGAAGATCTCCACCGAGAGTCTGACGTTCGGCATCACCGTCCTTGTCGGAATGAATGCAGAGAATGATGCGCCCTTGACCTCCTTGGACATCTCGGACTCGAATGTAACGCTCGCCTGTTCGAATGAGTCTGGGACGAACCTTCGTCTCTGATACCATTTGTTGGGGTATCACAACAAGCGCAGCAGACAAAAATACCTCTCCAACAAATATGACAAGCACTACTCCAAACGAAAATAAGCCAACACAAATAAATAAAAGACGAGAAAGAAAAGAACACAAAAATTGATAACGGAGTTCGGCGAAAATAATCTACGTCTCCGGGCATCGCCAAATGCAATGCCAAGTTTACTAAACTCACCAACAAAATACAACTAGGGTTAAATAACCCACAAATTAGGATTTCCTTAATTGAGGATTTCCTTCTAAATAGGAGAGAATAGAATAAGGTGAAATTGTAACCTAAAAGCAAGGGACATATGTATATTAAAAAGATGGAGTTTTATCAGTACAAGACCCGAAAGATGGGTAAATTATCAATGCAGGGCCTGAAAGGATTTTTTTCTCAATTCGAGACTTAAATGTTATTAAACTATCAAATTAAAGACCCGAAAATGGGTAAACTATCAATGTGGGGCCTGAAATATTTTTTTCTGAATTTAGGACTTAAATATTATAAAACTATCAAATTAAGTCTAGAATTAACAAAACTCATAACACCATTAAATTTGGAGATAATTTGAAGTTTTAAAACACTAAATTTGTTACAAAGTAAAAAAAAAATAAAAAGAAAAAAAAAAGAAAAATGAAGAAAATTATACGAGATTTTTGAAGAAAATTAAGAAAAGTATGAAGCTCTTGTTCGGTTTTCTTGCTATCGTCTATTTCTTTTTTTTTTAATATTATGCATATGTTTACTTATTATTTTAAGTGAGTAAACACTAATTTTTTATTATTTTTTTTAAACTCTAAATTTAGTGGTGTTATGAGTTTTGTTAATTCTAAACTTAATTTGATAGTTTTATAACATTTAAGTCCCGAATTGAGAAAAAAATCTTTCAGGTCCCGCATTGATAGTTTACCCATCTTTCGGGTCTTTAATTTGATAGTTTTATAACATTTAAATCCCGAGTTGAGAATAAAAATCTTTCAGGCCCCGTATTGATAGTTTACCCATCTTTCGGGTCTTGTATTGATAAAACTCCAAAAAAGATCATGCACATCTTTGGTACATATCCAATATGGGACAACAATTAATTAAAATCTAACATGGTCCACGCCAGAGGAGAGGTGGGGACCACCGCATCGGGCTCAGTGGGCCCAATGGGAAGACGTTGGATCGGGTGAGTGGTCCCAACATCATAACTGAAAATGACGAGAAGAATGTTCCTTTCGCCAGGAGCCCAATCCGGGCTCCCCTGGGGGTTCCTTTGTGTCCTGCTGGCATCGGTGGGTCCCGCTGGTCTCTTCCGGTGACAGGTGGATACGGTGGCTGTATGTCGGTCGGCACATTGTGTGATGGTGCTTTGTTGGACAGCCGTGCATTGAGGGAACGGATGGAGCATATTGCCTTGGGGCAGGGGTTAGTAGAAGGAGTGTCGTTGGACTGTGCTAATACGTTGAGCCAGGGTTTGGATTGTTACATGAGAGAAGTTAATTAAGTCTTGTGTCGATCTTGTGGGGTCGAGGATTGATGTCCGGAGCAAGCACCAAGATCGTAAAAAGCTACTTAATGGTGTGCGGCTCGATAAAATCGACAGCTGGATTTCGTTGCGGGATTTTAGGGTTGCCATGGAGCTCAATCCACGGAGGCTTGGTGATGACTGGCCCCTATCGTTAGAGAAGATATGTTGTCGTGCATTTGAAGAATAATGAAGTGGGATGTGTGGAGTTCTTGTTTTCCTGTTGAGTGAATTTTGTCCCCACTGGATCAAAAGGCGTGATTCCGGTCTTTTGGCCTTTCTACGGTCTTCATTTTCACCATCAAGAGCCTTTGAAACAGTGCAGTGTGAGTGTGATTAGAGTGAGAAATTATTACGCACGAGGGACCAGAAAGGCATGAAATCCCCATTCCATCTTGCCGTGGGGCTTTTTAATAGATGAGAAGAGAGCTAAAACTAGGTTGCAGTGTTGTATGGTTGCATTATCAGCATAGTCACACATACACAGAGAGGAAACAGTAGTACCTGCAGGAAGAAACATGGAACATGTGGGCAGTGGTCAAGTCCATGTTTTTAACAATTGCTGCTTCTTTTCTCATCTGAAATAATTTCGAACAATAACTATTTTCCTCAAGTCCAGTGGCCAACATGATTGAA